GCAAAATGTAATTATTATAACTATTATAACTATTTAATTATAATGTTCACTACTCCCCAACACTATTCTAAGAAATCTCCAGCTCTGCTTCTAGTTCCCGGTGCTTCTCGAGATGTTGAAGTGTCAAGATGCAAATTCAATCTAATCAGTCACAGAGAGTGAAAACCACAATGAAAAACTCCAGATTAGACAGAAAGTCGTGTAGTGTGAACAGTACAGAGATCTTTGAAGGGCTTAAGGTCGGGGAGGGAACTAAGTGTCTACTGAGAGAGTTTATCACAAGCTTTAACCTCACTTTTACCAAATTGTTCTATCTAAATTTTCTGATAATGAACAGGTGCCCCAAATAGGTGCTTGTAACCTGATGTTTGAAGGAGGGGCATCATCTTGACATAAGTTGTGTGTTAATGTTTGTACTCTCGTACAGGGAGTTTATACTGTCATTATTAAATTAGCATTAAGTCACATTGGAGTAATCCTCCCGCTATTGTTAATTAAATCAAAAATAATGGGCTGTTTTACGTGTGCTGCCTAATCGGAGCAAATGTGCTGCGAGCCCTCTGAGGAATCATGTGATGAAAATTAAGGATGAACGTTGACGTATTACTTGTGGAAAGAGAGAGAGAGAAGGCTGCGTCTCTAAAGTCTCCACAGCCGACGCTCGGTCTCCCCGAGCCTGACGCTGCTGCATGTTGACGTGAGAAAACTGCTCGCCATCAGGAGGCTTTCGACCCCTTTTACTTGACCCCTCGTTTAGCCAGGGTGGAAATGCGCTGAATTTCAATATGCGCACTTAACGACGCCTTAGTGCACCGGTGTTAATTATGAGCGAGGTTGAAATACAGCAGGAGGAATGAAGGAAGGGAGGGAGGGAGCCGGAGGTTCTGGTAAATTAGGCAGGCAGTGGTGGGAACCTCTTTCTTCCCGTTAGAGCAGAGCGCCCTGTAGCCAGTCCTGTGACCTGCACATCTAAACTCCGACTGCACCCGTGCAAATATAAGCAGCTCCTGACTCATGTTGCTACATCACACACACACACACACACCAGCATACGCCGTCTGTCCACACCGACTCGAGCTAGAGCAGCTCTCACCTCGTTAGCACTCCGGAAGCATCCCGGTGGCTCGGCTTCCTCAAGGGACATGTAACTCGTTAATGTGATTGTTCAGGAGAGTTCAGAACCTTTGTCGCATGTCGTCCCTACATCTTCACTTCACTTTGACCTGCCTAAAGACACAAACGCCCAGAGAGGAGGGGGGCCCTTCCAGAAAAAACCCTTCAACCTCTCTCTGACTTCAGGGGATGAACCTGTGGAGTCACAATCTCCTCTCTCTTGAGGAGCTGCAGCATCCTTGCATTTAAAACCTGCGACAAAAAAAAAAACAAAAAGAAAAACCCCAGCTCTGTTTTCTTATTCCCCTCAGCTGTCAGAACCGCAGGCTGAGCTGCCACAGCGCTCAAGGACTACCGCAGTCCTCCCAACACACACACACACACACACACACAAGTCATACAGCGATGAAACACTCACCAGTAGAAGCGGTATCCATCACGTCCCATGCAGCAGCAGATATTCAGCAGGTATTCCTGGCATGGCTGCAGCAGCACAGAGTGTGTCTGTGTGTGTCGGTGTGTGTTTTTTGTTTAAGACAGGCAGCGCTGCATGTTAACATCCAGCAGCAGCTATTTTACTGTTTTCCTCGAGTATCTCCCAAGAACCGTCGTCTCTCTTTTCCTCTCCACAGCGACAGAGAGATGTAGAGGGGGAGAGCGAGAGGGGGGGGAGCGAGAGACACTGAGAGAGAGAGAGAGAGTGCGAGAGAGAGAGAGAGAGAGAGAGAGAGAGAGAGAGAGAGAGAGAGATCGGGAATTAAAAGGATAGAGGGGGAGAGAGTCACTGAGAGTGAATGATAGGTTGTGTTTGTCGTTCCTCCATCCTTCCTCTCCTCTGCTGTTGGAGAGGAGATCATCCATCACTCTATTACACACACATACACACACACGCACACACACACACACACACACACACACACACACAGTATGAACACACACATACACACTAATACACATACTGATATATTCCCCAGAGACCGACCAATGAGGGCTCAGCTCTGCGGTTGTACGTGAATCTGATTGGCTTAGCCAGCTGTCACTCAGTCATGATCCCCTCTATCCCCATGGCAACTTGGAGGAGGGGGTGATGGGGTGGTGGTGGGGGGGCAGAAGGAGGAAGGAAGAAGGAGACTTAGGACGAAGATGAGAAGGAGGAAGAGGGTGAAGATGAGGAAGAAAAGTAGGAGTTGAGGAGGAGGAAGAACAGGGAGAAGAGGAGGTGGCAGAGGTCACTGGACCCAGGTCGAGGTCTGGGATGTCACGAGAACCAATACTTCGGTACCATGTAGACGCCAAAGTTTCGAAAATGTGACGGCACTCTGCAGTGACATAGGGATGCAATTAGCCCTTCCTAAGCCCCGCCCCTTTTTGCTACGTGCTCCAATAACAGTTGAGCAAGCCTCGGTTCTCCTTTCCTGTACTTCGAGATGTGCTCGGCAAATCTATGCTGACAAGACAACCACATTTTGAAGTTGATTTAAAGATAAAAGAGACAAATATATATATATATATATATATAAATCACATCATCGTCACACACATTAGCTGACTAGTTACATCCGATATCTAATGTCAGCAAAATGCTCTAATCTAAATCTAATTAGCTGGCTTACGATGACTGTAGAGCTAGTTAGTTTCCCATTATTTCACTAACTTTAGCTAACTTAAGATGTGACATATATATATGTCACAACCTAAAATACATCAGTTAATACCCCTCCGGTGGATTTTGAAGCTTAAAAAAAAAGGCGGTCGCTAACAAATGGCTAAATGAGGCCTGCTTCTTTCGACAAAAAGCCAACTGGATTTTTCCAAAATAAGCTCTGTGGCGAACAAAAGTTTATGATACACGTTTTTAGGGATGCTCGATATTGGCTTTTCTGCCGATATCCGATATTCCGATATTGTCCAACTCTCAATTTCCGATACCGATATCACCCGATACCGATATCTGCAGGCTTTTTACACCAAAACTGTAACAACATAACATATCTCCTATTGTGGAATTAACACATTATGCCTCATTTTATTGTGATGCCCCACTGGATGCATACATAAATGCAACATGGCTTTCCAAATGTAAACACTGTCTGTGCAAAATAAGAGAACAACTTCAACTTTCATTGTATTAATACTGAAAAGAGCGCTAACGCTAATCGCAGGGTGGCCATTTCCTCCACATCAAAAAGGAGGACACTTTGCATACACAGGGACACGCAAGCAGATATTTGTTTGGTATGATCCGGTTTTAAATGTTAATGTTTTTCCAGCAGATTACATAAAGGTGCATACACATACCACATAGCTAATAATAAATATACAAGATACAGCTCATGACAACGTGCCCTTCCAATTCAGATTACATAGGTCTAATAAACATCATACAGAAACTGTTCTTAATGGTTTTAATCTGGATAGATAAAGGGTAAACAAATACAGCACCTTCTGTTTCAGATGTATAGACTTTACCTATCTACATATGAGTATGAGCATTTTCTGAATTTCAGTCCAACAACCGACGTTAGCTCACATTACTTCTCTGTCGCTGAGAGTTTGACAGCCTGGTGGTAACCTAGCAACTGCAGTGAATCAACACATGGCTCATTTGAATATTTAAATGAGCCATGTGTTGATAGGTCACCACACGAAAATGTAACCAATGAAATTACTTATTTTGACACACATTTTTAGCCAATAAGTATTAAACTAACGAGGTAATGTTTCAAAAGGCGACATTTTTAGTCATTTTCTCAAAAGGAGGACAAATGCCCGGACGAATGGCCACCCTAGCTAATCGCTAGCTAAGCGCTAGCTTTGGTTAATGGGTTTAATTGTATTATTCACCTGAAGGAGTGCTAATGTAAATTCTAAGCCAATTGTTAGTTTGGTTAAGGAACAGCTCATAAAAATATTGAAGGTGCATTGAACTTATTTTGTGTTAATATTAAAATCATACAGCTTTAAATTGTATAGTAGTTATTGTTGTTATACGTCATCTAGCACGCGCCGGTAAACGTCCCATGCTGCGTTCATGTAGGCTCGGAAATGCTGAAGCCTACAGAACAAACATCGGTTATAAAACCCTGATACCGATAATTCCCGATATAAAATTTTTTAGTGAATATCGGACATCCCTACACGTTTTGTTCAGCAAGATAATGCTGAATGACACTAATGAACACCACTTTTATGATCTTTGAATCATAAATGCGATCGCTAGAAGTAAAAAAGCTAACATTAGGCTATAAAATAACTAGAGCATGGTCGCAGCACTTCCAACCTGTAATTAAGTCTTGTAATTAAAATGTTCAAGTTGTAAAGTTTGCAAGAGTATAAACACAACGAGGCTGTAAAGACAGACTAGCGAGTCGATAATTGTCCATGCTTCAATGTCACTATCAATTAAATCAATTTTATTTATAGAATTATAACAGAAGTTATCAGCACTTTCAAATAAGAGGTCTAGACCGAACTCTTTAACATTAATTACAGAGACCCAACAGTACCACTAGATATCTCTGTAGTCTCATTTAGACACTTGTTAGTTGTTAGCAACCGCATTTTTTAAGACATGTAAGCTTCAACATTTACAGGTGGGATATTTACTGACAGATTTTATGTTGTAGAACAAAACGTGAAAATCCCTTAAGCTCGTGTTAAGCACAGACAGCTAAAATGCTGAATGCTCATTTCGAGATTTTAGGACTCATTCCTGAAGGACTTTCTAATCCTTTCGATCTTAAACTAGATCTGAATGCACAGACACGATCTCCCTGAAGAGAGTCGTTGCAGCTTACTGCATCACGCTTGTATGATTTTTATTTGGCTGTGTTTTCTTGTTTGGGTTTTACGCTCATTGCCTTATATATGTTTATGGTTCCCCTCAGGTCCCCCAAGAATCCCCAGCAGAAGATCATCAAGCGGGTCATTGGCCTGGAGGGAGACTTCATCAGGTAGGAAGCAGCCATCCTCTCCCTGCAGCAACACATTACAGAAAATGTGACTGAGTCTCTCTAACCAGCGCTGATAAAGGAACTAATATCTTTTATATCACAGCTCTGGTGTAATAAACTAAAGCTATCCTGAGGTTGATGTGAAACAGCTGTCCCACATCTAATCGTATCACTCTGCAGTCAAGAGCTTCACTCCATCACGCTGGTTTCTAATCAGATTAACTGGCATCACCTTGTGGTAAAAATAAATCACTGCTCAGTTCCTGCAGAAACACAAAACGCTCACTGAGGGTAGAAACATGGCAGATTTTACGACTATATTTCTACTTTTACTCGTCTGTGGCACCACACATTTTAATGGCAGATTACTCTTTATATAATGGAGTAATTGAAGATATTTAAAGTCCAGGTGAAATGAAAAATTTAATTTTTAGCCTTTAAGATCACATCCTCGGTTATATTGTTCATATTGTATAACAACGAATGTACAAAAACTCAATTCTTTGTATTTTTATATCAGAATCCAATCATTGTGTCTTCCAGTAAAACAAAATGTGACGCATGCTTACGTCAGCATGAACTAACTGATTTCAACCAATAATATCAAACATTCACCCGTCAATCAATCTTCAACTTTTAGCCACACAGAGCGAAGATTCATTAGTTAGCTAGCGGAGCTCACTGATTACTGTACAAACACAACTTTATCAGAGATTTGGGTGAAACTGGATCAGATTTTATGGAGAGAATATTATCTGGTTTTCCCTCTGACGTCCTCCAGCTAATTGCTAATGAGAGCTGCCGTTAGCGTTAGCAGCCTCCCAGTGAACACAACCTCCAAGACGGACAAAGGACAGTTTGACAACAGCGGTACCGATGTGATTTATGGAGTTTCTAGACAGACTTGTTGCTAAAACTGTGGGTAACAATAATGTCAGAAGAGGTTTGCAGTTAGCTCATGCCGCTAACGTTAGTCAAGTCCCTGCAAACAACATCTCTGTACTCGGGTACTGCATTCAGTCCCAGTCTCACAGTCCAACAGAGTCAGACTGCGTAAGCTGCTGGACTGGGGGGGGGGGGACATAACACACAGCGCTATTGGCAACGGCAACAAGACCCTCTGTAGCTAGAAATACGTAAATATGATGAAGCAAATAGCTCTCTGATTTCTGTTTCACCTGGACTTTAATGTGTAACTGGAATACTTGATGTTTCTATGCAGTAAAAGGTTAAGGTAATGTAAAATGTTGTTGACATGGCAACTTTAAAGCTTTAGCTTTGTTGTACCTGTTAGTGCGACACCTTTATTATTGTTACTGGCGAATATCAGCCTGGGCAGAGGTCTAATCAAGAGTAAACACCTGTGCAAGTGAGCAGGGCCTTTAAAGTTTAATCTTAATGTGGTTAATCTGACAGTTTAACAGCATTAAACATAGTGTTTCAGTGCTGAATGTGTTTTCTACAGATTAAGCTTTTTGTTATTCCTCTGGTGTGAGATGTGTGATTGCTCTGAAGCAGACTTCACTGGAGTATTTGAACGTTTCAAGCTTAATGTTGGCTTGAAATTGGTCTTGAATTGCATTTGAACTGGCATTAAGAACACATTAAGGTTAGGTTGCAGATAGCTATTTTTATTCTTAGTGTGGATGTGTGTGTGTGTGTGTGTGTGTGTGTGTGTGTGTGTGTGTGTGTGTGTGTGTGAGTCATGCTGTTCTCCCTGGATTTCCTTCAGGAAGAGGTGGGAGCTGTTCTCAGCTCTGTTACACTGCGTTCTCGTGAGGAAATGAGCTCCACGGTTCGGATAATGAGACGCAGCAGGAGAACAGAGCGGGCCGGGCTGCTGGCTCTGATACAGCAACTTCTCAAAAACTCACTGTCTGATTGTTGGACGGTTTATCATTTGTTCCAGAGACCATCGTGTCCCCAGTCTGTCTCTCTGCCCATTAGCATTGTGCTCTCTTTCATTCTTACCTCTTAATCAGGAGCATCAGAACAGAAAACTCTCAAACCACCAAAACGTCTGTCTGATGACTGAAGGGATTTTATTACCGTGTCATCATTGTATTACATTATCAGATACGGCCTATGAGACTGTGTCTACGTTATGTCATCATTAGTCACAAGTTTCCGAACACATTTCTGTGCGTTTTCCTTCAAACTTTGCTCTGTGTTAGACCACAAGGTCGAATCTGAACCTCACAGCTTTCAATAAAACCTGATTCTCATACATTTTTTAAGACCGACTCATCGTCCAAACACTGGGTTCTGACCCTGCTGAAGGACATTTAATGCACCACTATGTAAGATTTGTTATGTGTGGGATTTGGCCAGTTGCAATACCACTGTGCGAAATATGGACAGCTTGATTTTTGTCAGCTGATCTGGTCACCTGAGCTTTACTAACACAACCAAACATCAATCAGCAACACAAGAGTTAATATTACTGACTAGTAACAACTCGTCGTCTTACCTGCAGCCTTTTATTTCACCGAGCTCTCTGTAGACAACCACTAAAAGCCAGTCCCACACTCCTTCTGGTGGTACAAAGCTCCTTCATTAGCAGTGTAAATAAACCAACACGCTTTCAGCCTCCAGTCCAGGCAGCGAAGACTGAGCGAACTAGGTTAACAGTTAACTTACTTTAGCAACAAGTAACCCACAAATTGCACTGGACTCCGCGACACTTGCCCTAGCTGATGACGTTTGTTCTAGGTTTGAAATTACACCAGAAGTGCTGCGGTGTAGAATATGTGGCTAGTCTGTTTTTGACAGAAACTGCGACCCGCTCACGTCAAGCAGCGCTGAGCAGATCACACTGGCAGGAAGTCAGACACAGAAACGGCAGAGAGAATCTAGTAAATTTTCAAAATAAAATACAGCGTGCAGACTCCAGATTTTCACACTACATCAACACTGTGGCACCAGGCCAGAAGTCAATCAGTCAGAGGAGATTTGAAGGACAACATACACAAGTAAACAACATTGGACAGGCAACACACTGTGACGACGCTCACGTTATAAAGCCGTGTAGACTTTCAGGGTAAAGCTTTCTGTTTATCAGGAAACTGTAAATTGTTGAGGTGGAGCAGCCGTATTTCAAAATATGAAACCCGAAACGAAAAAGTACATCATGCGAGAACAGACGTGCAGAGGAACCATTCACCCTTTTACAACTCAGTGTAGCATCAAAATGATAGTGAACCTGTCTTAAGGTAGAAAAGTTACAGAACAGGGCTTTAATTCATTACATCATGTAAAGAGCAAGTTTCTCCTTTTTTCCCGAAAATCTGGTGCGGTTGGATAAACTCTTCTAATTCTCTTGCAGAGCGTCAACCAACCTGATAAAACGGAGTGAAATCTTACTTTATGCCTCAAATTTTCTTAATTTGCAGGATTATGGGACAGACGACGTAAACAAACCTTAAATTAAGTTATTAAACCCTGTAATCCTCTAGTGACATTTATCGATTGATATTCTCCTTTTAAAATCTGCTGAACAATGCTAACATCACGACAAGCTAATTAAAATAAAGGTGTATGAAAACATTAATGTCCTTTAATCCCCTTTATGTTGCTTTTGCAAGCCTCCAGCGGTCTTTTTTAATATCACTGATTATTATTGTTCACTGTATGACCATAATTTACAGCTTTTACCAACAAGTCCTTAAAACTAAATAATAAAATGTGGACAAAACCTATTCATATGTAGGGGTTTGAATTAGACTCATCGCCTACAATACAATTCAGGGACATTTTAACACGGAAAAATTTGATTCTATGTAATCTGCTAACATTTGTTTAAATTAAAATAAGCCAATTCTATAAAAGTGACACCTTCAAATACATACATTTTATAAAATACCAGGGAATCCCAAGTATTTATTTGTTTAAGAATTACAGTCATTGAGTTTGTTGCTTTTCCAAAAGACAGACAGACTCAGTGTAGTGATGACTTTCGACCTCGCCCAGTTGGAGCTCAGTTGTGTCTGGAAAGTGTTTATTATCTTGCATATTGTTTCTTGTGCTAGCTGTGTTAGCATCCACAGACTCCTCGTTGCCTGCACAGGTGTTATTGTGCCGTCTCACCAGGTGAGAGTTAAGATCTATTGTGCTACTAGTGCACTTAATATCTGTCTGACAGATCTTACAAATGGACAGACTTCTTCTGTCCAACTTTCCTTCTTATAGAATCCAAATGTCTTCCAGACTTTAGATTTGATGTTGCACTGTAAATTGTGTCGGTGTTGTCGGCGAGCCACATCACACTAACGTTACTCTCGGCGCTCTTGTGGCAAGACCCTGGTGTTGACCTTTTACCTTTCACGAGAGTGGAGACGGTGTTTGCAGCAAAGCTTCAGTCAACAGATCCATAACTTTAGAATCGGACCATCAGCGGTTTGTGATACATTTAGATTGATCCAGGGATCTGCGTACTGATGTAGTTGCCTCTATAACTTTAAAACTGATTTCCGACTTGTATCGGTAAATCTGTACACCCTTAATTATTAGGGGTTCTCAAGCCTTTCGAGGCACGCGATAATCCAGGATAAAATACTGAGGACATTTCCTCCACAGATGTTAGTAATCATGCATGGAGCACAACATGATGCATTAAAACACATCATCCAACAGCGTGACACCCACAGAGTCCCTGTGACAGGCAGCACAAGCCACCCAGTGAACCAGTAAACACATCAGATCTTATACCCACAGTCTGACCCTGCAGCAGCGCTGGTGAGGCTGAGAGGAAGTGGCATGGCATCAGAGGCGTGTTCACAGTATCATAACACGCTATCATCATGTGATTCATCCCGGCAACCACTTGTGTCGGGTGCCATCGTGCAAATTACAGGTCACCGGCTGGGGAGGGGATGAATAATTAACAGGCTTGTGATGGGCTCCCTGGCGGAGGCAGCGCTGACGACGCTGGCTGTCAGCCTGCGTCTTACACAGGGCCAGGCTGACATAAATCACAGCTCCAGTTTTAATTCAACCGCGCG